CGTCCAAGGGATCTTCGTCCACTTTCATTTTTGCTTTATCAACAAACTTCAGTCTGCCATCTTTAATTGCATTCTGAATTAGGTCCCTGAAAAGAAAACACTGTGAGGTTTTGTGGCCTAGGAAACTATGATATTTGCAAAATCCTCTTTTCTTTCTTTGATCTAAAGGAGGTATTTTGACATTTGATGGCACAATGAGTTGGCCATCTTTGACAAGTAAATCAAAAATCTCGTCACATTTAGTGACATCGAAGGTATAAACCTTCTTTGGGAATTTGTCACTTTTCTCATTTTCAACAATCTCTTTCCCTTTTGTGGGAACTAATAATTTGCAGGAGTAAGGTGGTGCCTGTTTTAACTCAGCGAGGTCGATTTCGACCTCTTCGAATTCGAATTCAAGATAATCTTCTGCTTCCTCAGTTCCAACATAGGAGATCCTTTCCTTCTTGTTATTTTTAAAGACTCTGGCCTTTTCGGCCTTTAGCCTTTCGACCTGTCGAACCCTGTCGGATAACTGAGCCATGTCCCTCAAATATTGAGTGTCTAGTTTCTTTCGAATAGAGTAATCCAAGCCACCAGCGGCCATTTCGACTAACTCATGTTCAGGCACCACTGTGTAACATCTGGATTTCAAAAGCCTGAATCTATTCAGATAATCATCTATGGGTTCAGTGAACTTTCTCTTGACACTGGCTAATTCCTTCAAGCTTATTTTTGATTGTCCCATGTAAAACTGTTCATGGAATAATCTCTCCAAAAGAGCCCAAGTATCAATGGACCCATGAGGCAAAGTGGTGAACCATGTGAAGGCGTTTTTAGTCAGTGAACTTGGGAAATATTTGATCCTGAGGTCTTCATTATTGGCTATATCTCCCGCTTCGGTTAGATATCTAGCTATATGTTCGACTGTTGACTCATTGGTATCCCCAGCGAACTTTGTAAACTTAGGGACTTTATATCCCCTTGGTATCAGTATGCATTATGTAATCTAATATAGGAGAAGCATAATTTGGCCTTCTAATTTCTGTGTTGAGGCCATTCTGGGCCATGACTCTCTCTATCATGGTGGTTAAATTGTTTTCTGCCAAGATGTTATCGTTTCGAATTCTATGAACGACTGCATCAGCATCTTGATTTCGACCCACCATGACAACCCCCCTAGGTTGTTCTTCTCGAAACTCTGGGACTTCCAGCCTTTCGACCCTTGCCCCTGGTTCCATAATTTCTCTTTGTGGGCCTGGGATCATTGGGGCTTCTAGCCTTTGTGCCCTTGCCCCCAAGTTAACTTCTTCTCTAGGTGGTCTATAGGATGGGTCGTTAGCAACTTGTTCCATAATAGGTATGTTTGCTCGAACTCCCGCCTGATTCTGCCTACGCCTCTCTGGGGGAGTAAAGAAATTTGTTATTCGACTCATGTTATCTGCGTTTTCTCTATTTGTCACAGTCACATTTTGTACTATTGGGGCAAATATTTCCTGCATAGTTTGTGCTAATACCCCTATCATGTTATGGTTACTGTCATCCATCAATTGCCTAAAAGCCAACTGGTTTTCTGTGGTTAAAATACGCATTGCGCTATAACCCACTGACCCTTGGTTATTTGTCATAAACTGATTCGCCCCAGACCCAGACCCTATTTATGGTGATGAATTCGATGTGGAATTGTGTAAACCTGCCATAAAAGATGTTGGCATTCCATAAGAGGAATTTATGGTTCTATTACCATCGAAACCGGGTGGTCTAGTTAGTGGGGTGGCGAAATGGGTTTGTGTCCCTGATGGTGGAACGAATCCCCCAGGATAACCAATGGTTCCAGTATTTCCTAAGATCGAACTATTAGTTGATATGCCACTTACTCCATTAGTGGCTATATTACTGGTAGAAGATGCAACAGACTGTGCATTCGAAGGGATCACATTAGACGTTCCCATCGAAGCAGACACATTAGTGTCTGTTGTATGTGGGGCATTTTGTTCCCCTTGTTGATTGTCAGAATTATACATCTTGTTCAAACGTTTTCTTCTGGATGAGGGTTGGTTGTTGTTGGTTATTTTACCACTTCTTAGATTCATAAAACAACAAACTTATCACTCAGAGGGTATTTTTATAATGGTTACGTCTCAACAATCTTTATTTATGTTCTAAATTCCGTAATGTCCAACGATTGGTCCCACTGGGTGTGCCAATTTGTTTACAGTGATTTCTGGTAAACAACCGCTAGTCCTCCAAACTATCGAATAAACTTACTGACTGTTATTCAATTTCTCTGGTAACTCGCAGGATCGACTAGATTAATCCTAGGACGTGTTGGTCATTAGGGTAACTCTCATGATCGAACTGGTATTCATGGTTGGTATTTAGAATGTTGTGTAGGTGTTTAACTTATTTCGATTTCTCTATTAAAGATCTAAAGGTGTGATTAAATAAATATGCGCGAAACTAAATTGCATGAATAAAGGTCAATTGTAAAGACATGTAAAAACTGCATAAAAGACAAATAAATAACTTCGAATCATAAAAACGGTTAATGTAAAAGATACGAAATATGAAGAAAGCGTTTAAATGCAAGAATACTGTAAAATTGCTTTAAGTGAAAAAGGTGTTCGAATGATAAAAACTTGAAGATAAAAGCATGAAATGTATAATAGTTTCTGAAATGTAAAGTATTTGAAATGGAAAGAAAACATTTAAATGTAAGGCATTAGTGAAAAGATTTCGAATGATAATACTTTAAATGCAAAAACTTGTAAATGATATTGACATAAAGATAAAGGAAAGTACTGGAAATAATAAAGAGTTTTCATTAAATCATAAACATGTTGTGTTATCATACGTACATTGCTCTTGCATTCGTTTCCCTAGTCATGTGGTAATTTGAATGTTTACTGAGTGTTTTTGTACAAATAGATATGACACACGAAATCCTAATGCTAAGACTTCTATTTATACTACTTCGACCATAACTGTCTTACTATAAGATTCTGCCACGTTCAAAACATGCAGAGCAATGCCTCTCTCTTGCTTCCACGTGTCTTCGAATGCTCCAGCGCATATATTTCAAATTTCGAACATCCCGCTTGCATTTGAATTTCAAATGTTTTGGCACTTCTTCGCTTCGAACGCATTTCTTAGACACAGCCTTGTTATCATTTCGAGACTTCTTTGGATATATTCTCATAACTGTCACTCGAAGCTCCAAGCTTTGATATGCCCATTCGAAACACTGCTTCTACCATTTCGAAACATGACGTTTTGTTTCATTTCAATCGAAATGTCCAATTTACTTTGCTTCTAATAATATCATCAAAATCTTCAGCCAGCAATATTAAAGTGAAGATTGGCAATGAGGACAAACCCTTACACTTGTTAACCTCATTATCCATATCTTTTAAGCACTTAAAGGATGTATTTCTTTATGGTAAAGATTATACTATTGATTTGGATGAAGTATAAACGGTAGTGAGATCCCAAGATTTTTTTAAAGGTAAATGATTTGGAGATTGATGATAGTGGTGAAGACTCAAGTGTCTCAAGAGGAGGAAGTGAGCTCAGAGAGATGTCTAAATCAAATGGTTTTGGCAAGTTAAAGTTAAAATGCTTCACTTGTCAGAAAATTGACCACTTCATGACAGATAGTCCAGAGTGGAGGAGCAAATGATTATTTTTCTCATTTTGTAGTTGTATCATATGAGTATAGTTATGAGAGTATTGGTGCACTGGTAATGTCGAGTTTTGAGACAGAAGAAAGTTGGGTCATGGAATCAGATTTCTCTTATCTAACGTGTAAAAAAAAATCCTTTAAGACTTTGTAGCCAAAGCAAGGTTGAGTAGTTTTTCTTGGTGACAATAAGACTTGAAAGGTTCATCGTGTTGGTATGGTCTAACTTAAAATGTTTGATAATTGTGTATTTCTTTACAATGTGAGATGTGTTCGAGAGCTTATGCAAAATTTGTTATCAAAAATCAAGTTTGATGATCTATGTTATTTCACAAAAGTTAAACATGGTGTGACGAAGATTTCACATGGTGGAGGGATCATGGCTAAGGGTCTAAAATATGTGGGTTATATATTTTAGAAGTTTCCAATATTATTGTTCATTCATTATCAACTAGTGAAGTCTTTCATGAAAAGAACAAGATATGTGATTTGATGTCAATGCATGGAGGTTGTTTCAATGCACTTTAATGAATTTTGTAGGAGACAGTGGATAAAAACACATTCAACCTTTGAGTGTTGAGTTTCTAGGATAAGACTAGTGTCAAATCAGTTTACCTAGTCAAAAAGCATTCATTTAGATGAATAAACTTTCAAACTCTTGTGGAAGTTTGAAGTAGAAAACATGTAACTTACTCTATTTTGAAGTGGGAAGGGTTATGAGTTATTGGAATTGAAAACTAGATGACCAAAGTTCATCATTACTTTTAATGAGTCACATCACAACAAAAAAAGTAAAGACATGGAGATAAAGATTAAGCTATGGCAGATAGAGAACAATTACTAAGACTTCTAATTATCATTTGACTCATAGTGTTATGCTTTTAATGTTGATGAAGGGTTGCGAATTTCAGAAACAGGGACCTTAAAGGAGGCATTTGAAAGCATACAGAATCAAATTTAATTTAAGAACCATATTTACAAGTATCTGACTTGCTCGTTTCAATTCACCATTCGTTAATATGGTTTGTTTTTGTACATGTTAAGGATCAAATAGATTTCAGTAGTTATAAATATATATATCTCTATCCTTATTTTCCTCACAACTTTCCTAATTTAATAATTCAAGAAATATAGGAGAGTTAGGAATCTTATTGGAAAACTAGGAGAGGTGAGGGTAAGAATTGGTTAGAGTTCTTGAAATTTGGAAAACCATGTGAAGTACTTAAGGGGATTAGGAAGAAATTGTTAATACTAAGGACTTTTGTGAGAGTTTGAAATTGAGAAACACTTGATAGAAAATAATACCTTGGAAACTTGAAACTATTTTCTTTTAATTAAGGAAATGATGTTGTCGTGTCGTTCTATGGGTATATTGACCCAACTCATCAAGATAACAACATCTAGAGGCCATACACTACTCATCTGGACACTATTTCATCAACCACGTTTCATTATATTACAAATGACTAGCATGTGCAAATACAGGTATCTGTCAAAGCGATACAGACAATTAGGATTCATATAGATTATTCCAAAGTCCCCGCTCATGTTACTCTGGCAAACTTGGATTCATCTGATACTATAAGAGTGTCGTAGTATATCAGCCACATGAATTCGTTCCAATCTCTGTCGCATCCAACCGAAACACCAAACATTCATTGACATCCACATAGACCTGCTCAAAAAAATCATGTAGAATGTGCACGCTAAGGACGATCATGTCATCAATGTTTTACAAATATTTTAGAATATCATGTGAATGACAAGAAAAGGTATCAAGTCTGAATTGCTTATGTGAGGTACAAACCTGCTCACCAAGGAACTGAGTGCCATAGATTACTATGGGAAGAAGAAGTACTAGGGTGTTAGAATTAAACTACTCAATAGACTACTTAATGATTATACAAGAAAATTAAAACTGTAATTATTGTAATAAATTTTACTTCTTTAGATCTTAAAACTTTATTATGGATAATTAATAGATGGGTAATATTCATCAAAAAGAGTTAATTGTAAACATTAAATAAAAATATTGGATTTGATTATACAAGAAAATTAAAACTGTAATTATTGTAATAAATTTTACGGGTAATATTCATCAAAAAGAGTTAATTGTAAACATTAAATAAAAATATTGGATTCTTTTGATCCTGAAGGCCAGTATATCCGCCACTAAATCTCAGAAATTGACTGTAACTAAAAATATTACAGGAACTACAAAACAAAACTCTTCATTATTACCTTGATCAAAAGAATGATTAGCCCAAAAACGATTCATAGAGTTGGTATGCTTAATACTGAAATGTTAGTAGAAATGGTATGATACTGAAATTAATGTTACTACATTTCTAACGTCCACACTAAACTGACAGTATAAAACTCTGTTGCACTTACGGTGTATACCAATTACAACTAGAAATTTTTAAAACATGACTATAAGTGATGGTCTCAGACATCCAAGGAAGGATAAAGCAGCATTAGCTCTCAAGCCTGGCGAAGCGAAAGCTCTTAGTCGGCCACTGCGAATGTTTTGAGAAACAAGCCTTAGATTTATCATCATCGAACAATCCAAACAACATAAAAAGTTTAACAAATAAAAACATAAATTCACAATTACATAAACATCATAAGAGTCGTCTCAGACATCCAAGGAAGGATAAAAACAGCATAAGCTCTCAAGCCTGGCGAAGGCGAAAACTCTTGGTCGGCCACTGCGAATGTTTTGAGAAACAAGCCTTCAAGCTATCATCACTGACAACCTTATTATATTGAGAAAAGATTTAATCAGTGATTTAAAATAATATTCCAAAACTAGCTGACAATGTGAAACAGATGGATGAACAACAATTTAAAACACAATGTTTGATGGAGAATCATCAGATAGGAGCGAAAGACTGAAGTTTTGTTTAATCATGAATAAATCAGTTGAACTATGCTATTCATCATCACATGAATCTCCATCAACTATGTTAATCTAGCTTCAAATTAAAAGTTAAGATAATTACACTAAAAGTTAAACTTAAAAATCCTCAGAAGGAAGGCAGTATGGTATAATAATCATCTATATTCATACCCTAACACATTATCCATCCATCTCATCTTTGGAACAATAACAGAGTGAAATTTGAAACTAATTGAGGAAAATTAATCCAAACCCTAAATCTAAGCGTAATTAAGAGAATGAAAAAAAAAGGCCTCATAGAGAAGATTAGATTTTCCACATGAATTAATTCAGACATATGCTTGTCTATAATTTTGTTTAATCATCGGCCAACAGATAAAAAAAGCAATTGAGAAAAGAAAAACGGAAAGCGTGATTAGATTGAAGAAAGAAGAGACTCAGAATATGGGTGGTGATATAACAGGATGGTCGGCAAGGCCGATTTGGCCATTACGACGAACGAGACCTAATCACAATTCGTCATCGTCACCTTCAAATTCGATCGAGGTTGAAATATGAAATCAATTCAATTGGAAAAAAAACAGACAATTCAGAAACATTGCGGCTAATGATGAACCCTAATTGAAGAGAAGATATGAGTGAGTAAAGGGAAAGGAGGTGTTTATAAAGAGTGGGGAGTGAGAGCTAGGGTTTTGGGTGTGAAACGGTAAACGCTTGTAACTGATTTCTAGAATGTCCGGAGGGTGCGCCTTTGTTTAACCTGCGCCGCTCAAGGCGTTCAATAATCTAATTCTTTTAGGATATCAACTTAGTTTACGCTGTTTGCCAGCCGATTTAATTCGATTTTGAAGAATATGATACATAAATTAATTTGAATTAAATTTATAAATTTTTTCTATAAAATTTAAATTAAATTGAACTAAATAAATAATAGGTTGAATTGATCAGATAAATTAAAAAAAAATTTATAATAATATAAAAATATAATATCGATTATAAATATTAGATTGGTAGATTCAAAAATATCTAATAAGAAAAATATTTAATATATATATTTTTGACTCTATAATTAATCATTTGATTTAGTATAATAACTAACGTGTATAATACACTAATAATTTTTTAATAATAAATTAAAATTGCATAATTTGTCCACATCCATCATTTTTTTCTTAAAGTCAAATGATTGATAGTAATTTTTATGCTAACTAATTGATCGTACCTGATCAGACTTAGACTGTCACGACTGACTTGAGCTGAACTTGAGAGAGATGGGGGGTACCTGCAAGACACTCCGATGCTAAAATGAGTGGCGGAATGAGCAGGCAGGAAAAGTATAGGTGCGTAATAGATGAATATCTGACCCTCTGAAAACAGAGGGTATTTATAGCCCCCAGCACTGGGCCAAGGTCCCCTCACTGGGCTGACCAGAACTGGCTCAATGAAGGAACTGCCAGGTTCTACGTGTGTAGTGGGGCCCCGCACGTGGTCCCCTTCCTGGTGGTGCTCTGCGGAGAATAAGGAGGGACGAAGACGCGGTCTTTCCGGAGTTTAGAGGACTTGATAGCGGTCAGGATGGACAGAGTCTGCCCTACGGGGAGAGTGCTCAAGCAAGACTCGAGCTGGAGTTCCCTTGGTCGGGGACAGTGTGTGTCGCGGGCAATGGCAGGCAGCGTGACTGCAGTCTGTGGTCGGGCACGTCGGTGGTGATTCGTGGGTGCGCATTTCTCGAGGAGTCTGCTTGGATTGGGCCTTTATCTGCACTTTGGGCCAGGGTGGGCCCAGTCCAGAACAGGATCCCCCCAAGTCGTTGCTCATGGGACAGGAGTTATGACTTGACTTCATATCGCCTTTACCACGGGGATCTGATGCCTGGACCAAGATTTTGCTTTTTTGATGCGTGCTCGAGGAGTTTCTCACGGGTTGCGTTCGTAGCGTAATCCTCATCGGCGCGTGCTCCGGGAATTCCTCGCGGGTTGTGTTTGTTGGATACGCTAGGCAATCCTTGGGAACCGTGACGCCACCCTAGCGGCAACAGGGTCATCATTGCCTAGGAAAATAGATGTCGAGGAGGGGAAGTTCGTGGCTCCCCGGGGCGACGTTTCGTATTCCACGTCATCCCTATAAATAGGATCCTTGGGGCCCATAATTTGTTTTCCTTCTTCGCGCTTCTCCTTTTTCCTCTGCTTCCGCCGCCGTCGTCTGCTGCAACACCGTGAGATTACTGTACCATCCTCCGTTGACTACTCTCATCGCTGCCGCACATTCTTCTTTTCTTCCAAGTAAGTATTCATTCTTCCTATTTTTCTTCGTCGTAGGTAGTTTTTGTGTTATTTGGATGTTAGAAACCCGTATTTGGGAGTAGTGCCCGGTAGATTCATGATTGTGCCCGGTAAATCCGTAGTTTCAGGTACGTGACTCGCAACGCTGCCCGTGACCTTCATAGTTTTAGGCGCATAATCTATGATAATGCCCGTGACATTCGTAGTTCTAGGCATATGATCTATGATATTGCCCGTCAAATTCATAGTTTTGGTCGGTGTACCCATGAGCTGGCCGGGATGTTGACCCCTTAGGAAGTATGTAGGACAACTCGTCGTAGCATCTTAGTGTCGGGCAGGCGACGTCAGGATCTCGCTCGAGTAATCCATGTTTATCGCCCGAGGTGTTCATGTTATTCTCTTGTTGTTCCCGACGCTTGGTCGACTTGTCGCGCACTACTTCCCGTCACTGTGGCGAGCATGCGGATTTGCTCTCGAATTTCACTGGTTTCCTGTGCTTTGCAAGTAAATGGCCGATGAACCGGAATCTTCGAGGCAAAATGAAGTCGAGGACCAAAGTACCAAAGAGAACACGACTTTAGTTGATACCGTTGACGACCCCTCGTTGGATTGGGTGGGCGCCAAGCCCCGAGGGATTGCCTCGGTGTACTGTCGGCGTAGTCGGCGCGCATATACTATCGTCGAACACGGCGGTAGTCAGCCAAGTTTCCAGAAGAATTTTGTTGTGACGAGGTCGTCCATCGATGCACGAATCTGCTTGGAGTTTACCGAGTATGGGTTTCCAATGTACGAGATCGTGTTTAGGGATATCGGTCTTAAGCTCCCTTTCAGTGATTTCCAAAATGGGGTGTTCTACCATCTGAACTTGGCCCCTTCGCAGCTTCATCATAATTCGATCGCCTTCCTTCGAGCGTTCGAGCTGACATGCCATTTCTTGAGGATCGGGGCGACCATTCCCCTTTTCTTCAGGGTGTTTCACCTGCAGCGTCAGTCTCGAGGAGGCAGGCATAGTTGGGTTTCCCTGAAACAGTCGAAGAGGCTGTTCAAGATGTATATGGATTCGGTCCGGGGCTTCAAGGACAAGTGGTATGTTCTGCAGCCGGTCACCCAGACTGCCTTGGATTCCATGTACGAAGCGGAGACCGCGGTAGTCGACGAGGACAGAGAGCCCCTCATGGACGCCGAGGGTCGTCCGGTAATGGGGCGCGTATCCAAGTTCCCGTTACATTGGTGCTCGGGCCATTACGAGCATGGCACCAGGTATTATCATACGCCCGCGGGAAGCATGAGCCCCGAGGATGAAGAAGCCTATGGTATCCTTTTCAAGTATGTCGACAGCTTCTTCCCTGCCCGGTGGGTTAAGAGGGAGGGGGAAGATATTCTTGACGAGGATGGGTACCCGACATTCGAGGCCCGTCCCATCGACACCAAAGCGCTCGTCGAGTGCCAATCTTACGGGAAGGCCGTAGATTTACTAGGTTTCTTGCTTTTGCTTTGTTGTTTTCCATTTTCGTTGTTTTTGCTTGCTCGCAACTAACTCGAGTTTTGCTCTTCTCTGCAGGCGACATGGCTGAACGAAGGGAGAGGCTGTTGAAACTGACTCAGGACAAGAAAGTAAACAAAAGGCTGATGCGAGCTCCGCAAGCCACGAGGATGGGCCCGTCGACCAATTCGGGCGATGCCTCTAGTGGGTCCTCGGGCTCCCCTGATGCTGAGCAACCCACTGAGCTGGTTACGAGAAAGAGAAGTCGGGCAGATAATAGGTTGGAGGTTGGCGACGAGTCTGTGGCTGAGAGGGCCTTCAGTTTACCCCCATGTTTCAAAGAGAAAGATTTCTTCGAGGGGTTTCCTCTGACTATGAGCAACAATGAGGCCGAGACTATCAGGCGGCTTAACAAAGAAAGTCGGAGGAAACACTTGGCCGTCAGTATGGTCGGGATGGTGAAGATGGCCGAGATGGCCGTTGTCCTTGCCGAGGATGGGTCGGACTCCTCAGATCGCGTCAGGGAATTAGAGTCGGAGAAAGCTGCCCTCGCTGCCAGTTCTCGTAAGTTAAAGGCGGGCCTCGAGCGATCCGAGGAAATGTTTTGCAAACAAGCCGACCTACTGGCGGGGGAGAAGGAAAACTCCGGGAAGATTGCTGAGGAGAGGGATTATTTTCGACTGGACAAGGAACGCTTGGAGGTCAACAACGAACGTTTGTCTAAGGAAGTCGAGGAGCTAAAAGCTGTTATGCTTCCTGCTGAAGATGAGTCGGAGGAGACAACCCCTTTGCGGACCCGTTCAGATCTGGTCACGCGCATCCACCTCCTTGAGACGGATTGTGTCGGTACTTTAGCGGATGGTTTTGAGGCTGCGGTCAACCAGCTCGCCATACTGAATCCGGGAATGAATACCGAGGGAGTGGGTTTCATGTCCCAGATTATCGACAACCAAGTTGTGCCTTCTCCTGAGTCTCCTGTGGTGGATGCCGGTAGTCCCGGGAATGTTTAGCGTGGAAATTATGGTCGGGCCTGCGT